AGATAGGGTTTTGAAATTTCTGCACACGAAATTAAATTAAATTTTTTTTTTGTTTGAATCTCCCGAAAATCTGACATATTTCGATCCATATATAGATATAAGGAACCCAAAAGTAGTCACTAAAACGTTACTCCGCACATCCTTCTCCATTCACCTCCAGGGGATTTGCGCCCAAAAATGTTGTGATTATTACAGGAATAAATTATTCAAAATCATCTTTTTGTATTATTTTATCTCACAGTATTAAATTATATACAAAAACAAATATTCATCTAAGTGCCGGTGGCTAGGGGTAGATATTTACATCTCCGCTTGGCAGCTTGGTAAATATCCACCACTAGTTAACTCTACCTTGGTGAAGAGTTAAGAAATAATTATTTGATAAACTTTCAATAGGGCGATTGGCATCGCAACTTATCGTAATAATGCAAACATTTCCGAGAAGCCAATATTGGAAAATGGATCATTTTTCTATCCATATCTTGTAAAATTAATGTCAATGAAGGAAATATAAATAAACTTGAAAGGTCTTGGCTGGCCACCAACACCAGCACCTGTACAACAACAACTGAAGTGTGTCAATAATCATGTATTGTTACCCTTGGTGTTATCAAAACAAGCAGGCTGACATATCTGTCAACCAAAAACGGTTTATTTATGCGACTAAGAATAAAGTATTTGAAAGCCTAATGACCCAATTTGCCAGTCTCTAGCTAAATACTATAACAGGTACCGATAAGTAAGCACGTAATACTTCTTAAAAACCGTCAGGAGGAGACAGATTGTGCCTTTCTGTGAGAGCGTAGCCGGTTTTAATGACTAAGCTATTGAGTCATTCATCACGCCCTTAAAACCAAGACTATTGCCAAAATGGCCTACAGTATATTCTAGAGCTCGTGTGAATGATTTATTCGTATTACATCATTACACATTTTACGCTTTGTTTTTGGAAGCAGATGTGAACTGTTTGTGGAAAAAAAATTTTGTTGAACATTGATAAGGGCTGAGACGACCGCTGGTGTTTTCATCATAAAGTTAATGTTCAAGAGAACTTAAAGTTTAGCTAAATCTCGTTTTTTATTATTCTCGAATTTAATAATACCAAAATATAAGCCATTTAATTACCAATCAGCCATTTTTGTGGCGTCCTCAATTTGTGAGATGTTTAATGTGGTCTTATTTGATATTCAAGCATGACGCATTTTAAAATAAAGGTTAGACATATTCATCTTGAGGTTTTTCCTCCTGATTGTGGGGAAAAGTCAGCTGAAAGAGGCCAAAAATGCAAAAGAAAGCAGTGGTTCACTGTGACTGTATAAATAGAGAAGTCAGCAATAACTGAGGCGGCGAAAAAGGAAAAGAAAATAACAACCTTCCTTGTTTAAAAGCGCCGCCAGCAAGAGGACTAAAGGGGCCGCACAAATGTACGGGGTAGACTCTTTTAAGGTTTTATTCGACAAAGTTGCTTCGCACTTCGCTGAAAACGGTTTGTTCAGTCAAAATGCGAGATATTAGATTTACGTATGAGAGAACAGGGCATATCGAGCAAAGACAAGTCCACAATTAACGTTTATTATTAATTTTGTTTATGCATGGGCGATCTTTAAATAAATATTAGAAACCCGTCCAAAATAGATAGAAAGAATCAATTCTCAATCAATATCTCATTGTATTTCATGGCAAAAAAAAGAGACTAATTGATGTTATGTCTTCCTCTTCTTCTTATTCTCCTTCCTGTAAAGAGAACATGGAAAAGAAAAAGAAATTTGTATTCCTCCTCATATTGCAATAGAGTTTTCGACTCTGTAAGTGCAATTACTTGTCAGCATTCAATGATTCGTTATTGATTAATATGAAAATTCGCAAAAAATTATTCTTTAAGGACACGGAAGTTTTTCCACAAAAATAAAGGCGACCTTGAATCACGAACAACAACAAAACGCCCTGGCTGTGTCCTTTACTGCCTTTCTCACTTCTGTGATTTTCCAACAGTAAAGAAAGGGATTCAGAGATGAATTCAGATAAACTAAAGTTTCCGTAAAGAGCCACAGAGCATGAACTGCTGATCCACTAAGTACTGTATGTCTCAATATCGACACAATTATAAAAGGGGTGTAGCATGCCACTAAAGCCAACTGCACCCAAAATATGCTGGAAACTGTTTTCTGATATTGTTTGATGTTTAGTTGAACTCTCCCGTTTAATCTTTGTTTGGATGAACCTTTTCCTGTCCATGCACGTACTCTTCCCCTTCCTGTACCTTTTACTTGCATCTTTTCCTACTGCTATATCTTCTCCTGCGTTTGACCGTCCTTCGCCAGGGTTGTCTTCTACTTCAGTGGTTGTAATCTCAAGTGGATCACGAGCAAAACACGGAAGTAACCAGAGATCCGGCCACAAAAGCAACAATCAGTTTGACAGATTATCCAGCATAAAAGTATAACAGCTTGAGTTCGCTTTAGTGTCACAACTTGTCTGTATCTCAGCCTCAATAACAGAACAAGAAGTCTGTCAACACTGATGGCTGTTGATATCAGTACAGTCACTCCAAACAAAACATAGTTGGATATACAAACAACCTCTTCGACGTAATACAAAATATCTATGTCGGTGTTACCAAGATCAATGTAAAGAAATAAAAAAGTTACGAACAGAGGTTGTGAAAATAGATCCACACAAATATCGGTAGTGGCTAGACATTCAAACAAGACCTTTGCAGCGGGATGCAAAGAGGACACTTTATAAAATGTTAATAGAAGCAGAGCATTACCAAGAGATGCAGTGAAGGAGAGGACAATGTTGAAAGCGAGGAGAAATGCTACTACTCCAATTGGTAATTGTGAAGATAACTGGCTTGTGAGGGTCGCCATTGGCGCTCACGTTCAGACTTGTGGCTCTGTCTTTCCCTCTTTTGGCAGGAAATGAACGTTTATTGGGCGATCCGTCTTCGATATAAGAGTATTATTGTTTTGTTGAGAATTTTAGCAGTTTCTATTAAATAAAAAATTCCTCCTGTTGTCTGATTTTACGATGACAAATGTCACAGCTATAATTAGACTTGTTTTTAACTCTTTCGTGTTTTATTCAAATTCTTCGAATTTTCATCATGTTTAGTGAGCGGGTGCTACATTTATTTAACAAACTAAATGACGTAGAATCTGCGAGTTATTTTTCACCGATACTATGTAGAGCTTCCTCAACAAGTCAGCTTTTCTTTCCAGTTCTTGACCCATGTGTGTCTTTGTCCTTCTTAGCTATGCTTGTTTTGTTTTTAAGGTAACATATTTGTGGTTCCTTTATGATGAGCAAGTGCTTTTTAGATAAAAAAAAATTTGCATAATATACTGATGTTTAAGAACATTGAGGTCAATTCTCATAAAATAAAGGCATCCTTGAGCTATAAACAACAACAAAACGCTCTGATTGTCTTCTTTACTGCAATTCTCACTCCTCTGAACTTCCAGCACTAAAGAAAGAGATTCAAATTTAATTTAATGTTATCAACTGAGTTGATAAAGTAAACTGGCTACCGTATGCCAGTTCCCTATTATTCGTAACAGAAAAATTAATTACTTTGCCGCGAGTGTGTTCCCTAAATTCAGAACTCATTAGCGAGAGCCAATTTGCCGGCACGTCATTATTAATTATCAATTCGGGCAGGATTAGCTGATCCAATACTAAATTATCCGAACTAACATTAAAAGAATTCTATGGTTGACAGTAAGGAGAATTACAAATTTGATCTGGGAGTTGAAGAGTTAAAGTAGTGTTTTTCAAGAGGGATGAATGTGGTAGAGTATCTAAAGTTTCGTTTACACAAAAGACAGAATTGGTGTCGAATTGTTCATTAGTCGTAGGAGTGCCAGCGACCCAGAGAAAATCGAGAGTCGGAGTCGTAAGTGGAGCCAAAAGCTTGACGAAATAGGAGTTGGAATATTCCGAGCAATTTCTTTTCTTCCGATTCCGCTAAGAACTCCAACGCTTATGATCCAGTGAAAACTCGATTGTCGGAATCACAGGCAATGCCAGTTCTTAACTGAGCTAACCGATGGCTCAAAACTCCAACAATTTATTTTTCACATGTCATTAGCGAAGGAGTCATAAGTGGCATCAGTATTTTGCTTCTGATTCTTTGGTTTGATTTCACAAGGTCATATCGCTCTGCTCTTTTTTTTTCTTTAGAAGTCGATCCAAGTTGATAACGAAGGAGAGACAAATTTGTTTGTTTGTGAAGTCTCTTCGAAAATTCAACATCCGTTTTCAACGCTAAGCTGATTGTTCTGCACTGCAAAAAAATATTTGAGGGATAAAAAGCAAAAGAATACGTCCTCAATTTGGCTCTAATATATACACGTATATTTTGTCTTTAAACATGATCCGTTCCTAAAAGCACACAGTTTTCCTCAAGCTTTACTCTCCGAAAATTCTTGGCCTCTCTAGACAAAATAAATGTCCACCAAAAAAAAGTACGAGCATATTTTTACACTAAACAGAGGCTACTGTTTAATAGTCGGTCCTCGCTCAAACTTGTTAAGTTTCTAAATTATCCTTCAGATTGAGTACACGTTTCTCACAAGCTTCCCACAAACTTCAGTGGAGAGAGTCTTACAGTTCTTCTCATTACATTAAATGATCAAGTGCCTTATTACAGCACATACCTCCTGATATTCTCCCAAGGGAGTCAGATACTGCAGAATTAGTCTCTGCTGCATGCCAAGAGTCAGGGGGGGAGAGGAAAAAGGACATAGGGACTATGTGGTCCCCTCCCTTAGGTGCACAAATTACATTTCCAGTGGAACGGAAACCCTTGCTTGTTTTAATTAACAATGGATGTTTTGCTTGTAGACAACTTTTACCTGAAACAAAAAGAAAATATTTATTAATATTAAGGAAACTGAGCTGGCTTGTGCAGGGCAAATCTACTTGGAGTACTTCCTTCCTGGCACCCCCCTCCTCACCCCACCCCCCCCCCCCTTGACACAAAGAAGAAAAACAAATGATAATATGAACAAAAATACTGAAGTGCTTGAGGAAGGACACTTCTCAATCCATGTTATTGTGACCACCTAGATATACTATCAAATCCCTCAAGTTCAAAATTGAAAGCTAACCTTGTTTCCCTTAAACTCCCAGAAGTGATCAACATGTAACTTCTCTCTATAATGTACATACGTAATTCACTTAACAGCTATTGAGAATACACAAACTTATCAAGCAGAGGTTGTTATCTTGATCTAAATACCAAATTCTCATAACTAATTTACATGGAAAGATGTAGCAACTATAGGGGAGAATTAACATTCTGATTTTGGGAGTCAAAGGGTCAAAAAAAAACATAAAGTGCAGCTTTCCAACATTTTTCACAAGAGTGGAATTTTGAGGCAAAAAAATAAATAAACTCGACCTCTCAAAGACCCTATTTGCACTTACCGGTATCTAGTGTTTATTCCATTGAAAGCTTCAAGGACCCCATCCAAAAGATCTCACTTTTGTGGAACTTATTCATCACATTATCCTTGCAGTGCTTTCAATAAGATTTGAAGAAGGTGGCTTCCTTGGTAAGGCACCTGCCAGAGAATTTCCCTCTTGTAATCCCATTACTTCCATTCAGAATAAACTGGCTTAAAACAGAGTTTTTGGTGCCAAACTTTCACAGATGATCATTAAATATTTTTGTTCTTGATAACAATTGTTTAACTGATCATTTTATTCCAGATCAAAATTTTCCATTCCCTGTTACTCACAATGTTACTGTTTTTGCTCTTGTTCCTGTTTGTCTTTGCCTTCAGGATAATCCTGTTTAACAGGTCTGTCACAAGGGACTATGTAAGGTCTGACAAGTCCTTTAAAATTTGCAGCTGCCACAGCATACAGGGAACCTAAACATGTGAAATTCAACATTTAATCCTCAGCGTATAGTTTAAAAAAGGTGTTCCAAACAAAAAATGCCATGAGTGACAAAAGACAATTCCTGAGAAGTGTAAACTCAACTATACACTCTGACTTTTGGAAAACAAATGCTGTTAAACACAAAGCTAAGATGCAATATTTTAAAAACCCCTTTTCACCCTAACATCAGTATGCATATTCTCCATACTGTTCTATATACATTTCTTTAGTTGTTGACTTGGAGAATTTATTTAACAAGATGTCAAAAGCTTCTTTATTTGGTGATCATTTCCTTTGTTCTCATAGCCTTTATGTTTGATTCAGGGGAGATATTGTAAGGAGAAATTAGATGCTGGTCACTCTTTAAAGTTGCTATACTGACTTACCAAGGTAGAGTTTTCTTCTCTGAATACTGCAGCAATATTCTGACTCTTCATGGCAAATGCTAAAAGACCTGTTAATAAAATAATTATCAAAGTTTCTATTATTTGATACTTGAAATTAAAAACAAATTAAATATGCAACTGCAGCAATACACATTAAAAATGAACAAAAAGGAATATTAGAATCCTCAATGAAACAATGACTATCTATATCTTAACCTTGTACACTACCTTGGATCACCTAACTAAAACAACCTTCTACTTACACCCAGTTAATAAACATGTACACAAAATTGAGTTAATTCAGAAGCTGAAGCTGTACAAGAATTAGATAAATCTAATTTTCCCCAGGAGGCCACTTGATGCTAAATATTTTGTCAACTAAATTTTCTTTTTTCTCTTTTTCAGGTATGGTGACCAAAATGTTCAAAGCCTGAAGTACTGTGTAAAGTAAGACCAGTAAACTATGATATAAATACCTGTAGCATATGATCTTAGGGGTTCCAAGGCTTCTCTGGCCCACTTGCATAATTGATTAAGCATTGCTTCCTACATGTACATGATTGACATCAAATTTGTTGATAGGAAATATGTAGAGAAAGATGTTTATTGTCTCATCACAAGTGTGGGACAAGAAAAGAATTCTGAGTCCCCATGAGGAATTGAACCTCAGACCTTCAGATTCCACACTCCAATGCTCTACCACTGAGCCAGAGAGACTCCACAGTGAGTGAGGTCTATTACAAAGTTCATATGACATGCATCCTGCATAGTGTCCTGCATAGCATCATGTTTATAAATAGAATGAGAGATGGTAAGTTTTGAACTCAGTAAAGAAATAAAGAAAGATGTTTTTCATCTTGTCACGTGTGTAGGACAAAGAAAAAATTCTGAGTCATATTCTGTTTACAAACATGATGCTAACAACATTGCTGATCCTAGCAGTATGCAGGACAAGTGTCACTGAACTTTGTAATAAACCTCACTCACCATAGAGTCTCTGTGGCTCACTGATAGAGCATCAGACCCCAGAATCCCAAGATCTAAGGTTTGATTCAACGTGGGGACTCAGATCAGAATTTTTTCTTTGTTGTGACAAGACAAAAAACATCTTCCTCTATTTCTTTACCAAGCTCAAAACTTACCATCTCTCTTACTCTATTAAAGAAATATGTATTTATTAATTAAGGAAAAATGAAAGTGAATCTGAAAAGTTTGCATTTTTTTAAAAGTTTTTTCCACTGAAGTGAGGTGACTGAGAGCAACAAATAAAATCTCTTTTTTTTTTTTTCTTTTTCGCAACATAACTAAAAGAAATTCATAAATTTTTTTTCATCCATAATTTGATAAAGTAGAAATTGTGCAAGTTAATATTAAGTATTTAATTTTTTTCTAAAAAGGAAGGGAGTGCCATGCCACAGAAACTGGACACAATTTCTGGACTTTAACATGGAACTCAAGCTGACAAAAAAATGTCACATCTTAAGATTATTAACACTTTAACTCCCAGAAGTGATTAACATGTAACTTCTCCCTATAATATTCATACATTATCCAGCAAAAAGGTAATGAGAATAGTCAGACTTATCAGGAAGAAGTTGTCATCTTGATCTAATATCTTGTAAATATGTAAGAAAATAATAAAAAAAAAAGTGTGAAAAGTGTGAAACACCAAATTCTCATAACTAATTTACAAGGAAATGTGTAGCAGCTAGAGGAGAGAATTTAAATCAGATCTTGGGAGTTGAAGGATTTAGAATACCTTGCTAAACTTACCATATCCTGAAAAACTGCAGCACTTTCCAGCCCAGGCATGGCATTTAACAACACTCTGGCTGCAGTGCAGTTCAGATCAAACTGTTCCACAGTGCTCATGATGTAGGAGTTCAGTAGTTTGTCCATAAATTCATCATTTCTGAACAGTGCGTTTCCATGCTATGTTTTATTCGTTCTGAGAGAGGAAAAGGATTTTTTTTTGGTGTGTAATTACAGCCACATGCCAATTCAACAACAGTTTTGGTTGGATAGAGAAAACAATGACAAAAACAACACATTGCCATTGGGGAAACATATTTGTTTTGCGATAGTAGGGGGCTGTGCGGAAATTTTACCAAAAATACTACTACTATTACACTTCACCAACCTTTGTAGTGTTTTAACGGGTGATACATTATCCTGATCTTCCTTTCGCCAAGTATCCAAAGGATTACTGAGTTCAGAGGTGCTATCCAATGCAGCCAAAACAAATAGACAGTTTACTACAACGAATCCACAACGTGTAGAGTTTCGAAGATTGAAAAGCCCGCCATTTTTGATCCGAAAGATATAATGATACAGGATTACATGGTCTTCCTCTTCGAAAGTGATCTCGCTTTTCTCGGCATAATTACTCTGATATTACTGCAAGTGATTTTGTTGACTGTGCGAAGATCAGATGTAATTCCTGTGTGTAAACTATATTTACGACGATTAGTCACATGGCGAGTTCCAACACAACACGCGCTAAGTCCCAGGCTATTATCAAATTTCGCGCGGAATGCCTAGTTGTTATTGACCTCAAACCAGTCTTTTTTATTTTGCGACTCGGTCGGCTGTGATCTTATTTGGAATGGTTCACCTTTAACGACCAAAAATAATCATGAGAAATGAATGACTTCCATTGTATTTTGCCCTCCTTAACTTTTGATTCTAGTTTGATAAATTTTTTGAAGTGCTTAAGAGGAAATTAGAGTACCACAACTGAAGTTCAGAAAGGTTAACGAAAGTTACTTAAACAGTTACAAGTTCTTTAATGATTTTACGTTTCCTTCTTTGAAGGCTCATCACCAGATGATTACCCGGACAAGTTGAGGCAGTTTTTCTGTGTAAGGTATGGAGAAGCATGGGGATCTCGTTTTTATACAATGTTTACCCAAATTGTCGTTTCTGAATTTTACAGTAAATGTCTTACTTTTTGGTCCATCACTTTCTGTCATTTGTCCTGACTTTCTCTGATACTTGTCTTCTGAATTTTTCAAACTGTTCATTAACAGAGCAAACCTGCAAAAATGTTCCCCGGCATCTGAAACTTGGAAAATATTGACCGATCAGCTTGACAGGTATGAAACCATCTTTTGGATTCTGCTATATTTACTCCCCTGGTCTGGGAACTAAATGATCTTTACGTAAGGATATTAAAACGGTTTTCAAATGAGGTCCACCAAAACAAAGTAAAGTACTCGTTACCAGCCACAAAATCTACAAATAGCTAATCATACAAGTAAACAGACAATCAGGCAATCGGGCAATCAGAATTATGGACAATTCCATGCAGTTAAACGTGGAAGTCGTTATTGGTATTTTACTTGGTTCTCGGGGTAAGTTTTTTTTGCCGATCGTCACGGGCAAATCGATTTCATTCCTCCAAACTGTGGGTTGAAGAATGGTCTCTCCGTCATCTCTGTCGTAATTCAACACCGTCTGTATGTAGGCTTTGAGATGGTACATGTCCTCTTGTCCTGTGAGAAGGGTGCCATTAGCTCGGAAATTGACTTGTTTGAAGAGTGTGTGCGCCAGGTTATTGGCTGGAGTTGTCATGCGATTCACAGTGTCATTGCGTGAAGTGAGATTGGCATTTCCCGTCGTCTTGAATCCCAAATACAATTTCACAAAACTCCGCTCCAGATAAATGTAATTGATTGTCTTTCTATGTAAACGTGAATCGGAGTAATACTCGCTGTCTGAGGTGGTACTTTGACGTACCTGTAACTGGCAGTAGAAAGATCCGTAGGTGGAATCGTGAATAGGTTGAGATTAGGATTGATAGCGGCTTGTTTTCGCGGCCATCTCGCTACAGATGATGTGTTTACTTCAACGTCTCCATCGTTTATGGGTGCGTCAGCGAGTAGAACGGTTCTTAAATGGTCTTCTCTTCCTCAGAAACCCACTGCCTTGCTGACCATGATACCTTTGTCTTCCTTTATACTTTTTTAAAATAAATTTCTAAAATAAATTTCAAAAAAAAAAAAAACTTCGTTCTTGAGTGCTATAGAAGCACCTTTTATTTGTTCTGACAAGGATCTCAATCCACTTTTAAATTCTTTCTTCACTTCAGTGGGTGGAATGTCACTTTAAAAAAAACGCAAAATACTTTTGATTCGATTTACTTTCATTTTTCCTTAATTAGTACGAGTACACACGTCACTTTAAATCTTTTTTTATGGATCCAACTGTTATATTTAGCGGGATATCCTTTCCACTTGACGTACAATTTATCTTTTTGTCGTTTCAAGACTTTCTCCACTCTAAAATACGAGGATTCGTCCAATTGTAGTTTTTGTAAATCCCAGGCGTAAAACGTACCCTGCAAAGGTGTGTCGTCGAATTCTTCCATTTTATTGGTGGTAGTCATAACCGGTAAGACTTTGCGTACCACAAACACCTCTTCAGTCCAACCGGGTAAGTATCCTTTTTTGAAAGTTCTAAATTTTTTATTCAATCTCACTTTATCCCCCACTTTAAAGGCAGGAGGTTTTTTTCTTGAGATTCACATACTTGCCGTACAAATTGTCCCAAACTTCTTTGGGATTGAACATAGTGACTTTGGCGGGAATCATGCGAATACTTCTATGATACGTGTGATTATATTGGTACACGAGTTTCGGTAAGTTGTCTACATACTTTAAGGTATTAGCCGCTGTAAAATATTTTGTACGTTTTAGATTTCATAGTTCTATTTAATCGTTCGACAATACTGGCTTTGGCATCTCCGTGGGTGGAAAAATGATAAATGTTCTGCTGTTTCATCAGAGTCTGAAAGACTTGATTGTAAAATTCCTTTCCTGCATCTGTCTGTAAGGTTTGAGGTTTACGTCCCTGAGCAGATTTGAGGATCTTGACAAATGCTTCAGCGACAATGAAGACCAGAATGTATCTGAATCCTTTATTCTGTTTAGCCAGAGTTTGCACTTCCACCAAATCAGCTACCCACTGTTGGTCAATGTCAAAGACGACGACAGGTTGAAACACACCTCTTCTACGACGCGGTTTATGAAGCGTATAGGCAAGATTCTTCTCTAATTCTTTTTTCGCTTTGGGACGTGAAATACCTTTAGCTTGAGCATATTGAGACACGCTCCCTAGACTGCCGACGACACCGGGTGTATCGTAATCGAGTATCTTCTTTGTATCGGATTGAGTCTTCTTATTCTTTTTAGCCATAACAATTTGAACAAATGATTCACACAGTAGTAACCAATCCAATACCCTCCCAAACACTATGCGTACAATCGATTCCACACATTGTATGTGTACTTTCCCTCGTAATATCGCATGAAAGTCATCAAGTGACGAATACGAGTATGGGGAAGATACAAATGAGGTTTCATAGCATGTTTATACACATCTTCTATCATAAGGGAAGGAACCCAGTCGTAAGGTATTCTATACACGTCATCGTCTTCGTACACGAGTACCTTAATGCGTACACATACCCACGATACGAATCGGTAGTGAGCGTAACAATATAGACGACGCCACCAAGAACCCATGATTGAACAAAATGAGAACATGATTTCAATTTACACACATTTTATTTATCTGCATTATAACACTCCAGACACATGACCTCGTTTTCTAAACATTCCAGTTCACTACTAGTTAGGCCTAGTCGTGGAGCTAACCTCCTAAACAACGATAATCCAATCCTCTGCGCAATATGTGCATGCTCTTCTTCAGAAAGCTCACCTATTAAAAAATCAAAAAATTTACAAAATTCATTTTTGAAATAAAATCGTGAAAAATTCTTCCACTTTTTTAGGATCTTCTTTGGCTAATTCCTGAGCTAATAAGAACAGTTCTTCATCTGTGGATATGCCTTCCTTAAATCTACGCTCTGAAAAACGCGAATTATACCATTTTACTTAAAATTGATATAAATGTTAGAAAATCTCTAGGATCTCCTTGTTCTAAGGCATCGAGTTCATGAGGTTTAAAACCCATAAGTTCTTAGGCGTAACTTCGCCATTTACCGTCCGAAAATTTTTCAACCTATGCATCTACTCCTTCTTCTTCTACAATTTAAAATAAGGGCAGTGTAAGATGACGTCGTCTATCTACGACAAAAAATGTCATTCCATGTCAGCACACAGAATTTGCTGTGTTTTCCTGGAGGGTTTGTAACGCCACCAATGGAATAGATTACAATTCTTCTGACGACATTTCAAATACATCTTTTGATAATTCATGTCTGACTTGTGATGCCACTGGGTATCATTCACCGCTATGTGAGGCAATTGGAGAACCAACAACTCTTTGTAGTTGTACGACAGTTTACCATCAACCAACTGAAATAGAAACGAAGTTCACGTAAGTATATCAACGTTCAATGGCTTTTAAAAAATGTATCTTGATTTACATAACTTACCTCCGGCACCGAAGATGATGACGAAAAAGAGATTTCAAACAGAGTTCCTGAAGGCTTAGCTGTGCGGAATCTCATTGAAACACTCCACAGAAGATTGACCTTTGAGTTGGCAGGCACCCTCTTAAAACTCCGTCTTGAGAATCTCCTAGTGTATTTCACACCTGTTGAACAAGGAAGTTTGTATGAATGGTTTACATCAAAGAACCCGTGATAAGAAATTGACGTTCTCCTTAGTTGGGGTATTTTAGGGTAATGCGAATCCCAGAAAATCAACGCTGACTGGAGGCCTGGATAATTTCTCTCCAATTTAACCCTTTAACTCCCATGAGTGACCAAGACAGTATTTCTCCTTACAATATTAATACAATATCAACCAGGTAAGTGATGAGAATAAAGAAAAACATCAATTTGGGAATAATTAGTTGATCCAATACTAAATTCTCTGAACTAACATCGTAAGAATTGTATGGTTGACAGTAAGGAGAATTACAAATTTGATCGGAGAGTTAAAGGGTTTAGGAAATTAATTAACCCGAGTTACATCAACCTTTACCTGCCATAAATGACCAAGACAGAATTTCTCCTTACAATATCAAAACAATATCAAGCAGACAAGTGACGAGAATGAAGAAAAATATCAATTAGAGAATTATTAATTGATCCAATACTAAATTCTCAGAACTAACATCATAAGAATTGTATGACAGACAGTAAGGAGAATTACCAATGATATCTTGGCAGTGAAAGGGTTAAGAAACAGAAATTGCTGACACAACAGAAGACAGTATTTGAGGAACTCGGCCCTTAACGTTAAGGAAGGGAATCTTTCAACTCTGAGGATTGTTCACAGGGTTTTTGAAACCGGCAGATCTTCGTCAGATGTACAGTAAAACTGATTTTTCGCTCTTTTCTCAGAACTGTCGGGTCAAAATCTGGTATGGATCAATAATTCAAGGCGAAAATACCGGTGATTAAGTACGTGCATTTATTAATTGAAGATCCACTAAATCAGATAAACTCGACGATACATTTCTCATAACAAGGAACCGCATACATTTAAATGCTCATAAGGTGTCCTTTATCATGCACAACTCATGAACTGTTGTCTGCATCTTAGATACTAATTATTTGAAGATATTTCAAAAGATTCCGTACTCTTGCGAACGCTTCAAACTAAAGTAAGTGCGAGAGGAAAGATTACTTACATATCCGTAAAAAAAAATTCAATACCTGTTTCACCGCGACTTCCATCAAATCCAGTGGAACAGTCACACCGGCGAGTACCAAGTAAGTTAAAACACGTGCCTCGCCCGCAAGGTTGTTTATAGGCGCACGTGTTGCCCATTGCTTTACATTTAGCACTGGTTCCGTTGTTGTACAATGGCTGACTGAGGTCCAAGAACTTGTGATCGATGTAAACATTTCTGATGCAGCCAGTAAAATGTTGTAGGGCACTGGGAATTTAATTGGTAGCGGCACGAGCCCACCGAGAAGAAGAGGGCCTGTCAAATGCAAGGGGCTAAAAAAAAAAAAAAGGATCACAGTGTTACTATTTACAGTTCGCTTTTAATTACAAACACGAAAACATTCCATACACGATTTTGTGAATTTAAAAAGCAAGTAGATATCTAGAATTATGTATAGGTCAAGTACTGCAAAAAGTGTACACTTGTGATCAAAGAGCACTGATCAGGAAGTTATAGCCCTCAAGATTACAGTTAGCCCTTTGACTCCCAGAAATGAGAACTCCAACAGCAGTTTGACATAAGTAATCTGACAAAAAAATCACTGCTTGGGGTCAAGAACTCGTCAAAAACATCTTACAATGAAGGTCACCCACTATACTAAAATTGTTGCATATATTGACCCGCTAATAAATACCTAAAGCTCTGATGATGATGATGATGATAATTAATTATAACGATAATAACACTATTAACAGTTCGTATGATATATTTCTCTATTGTCAATTTGCTTACAAATTTTAGAAATAATTAATTCAAACAAATTGGAAATAAACATAGTAAATAAACGTCAACACAGTTTTTAAGAACCTCAACTAGTAAAAGGCAGACAAATTGGCTTTAAACAGAGCAAAGCCAACGAGTGGAACTCAGTGCAACTGAAAACAAATCCAGTGAGTAGCAAAGTGGAGAACTACAACCTGGGACCACCGGATGACAAGTCCCTAAGCACTTGGCAAGTCCCTAAGCAGGTGGCCAGTGCCCTAAGTACTCAGCCACTCTGCCTACTCCAAGGGTCTTTCTTGATGGTGTGCATTTATATAAAAATATACCTTTAATTTTTAGATTCATCTTTAATTTGAAGCTGCCGTGCTGCGGCACATGAGAAGGAGGTTGCTTTGGTCCCAAAATTCACTGCCACGGCTAGTTTACATTCGTCAACAATGATAATGCCAGTCTAAACAAAGAAAAAAATGATTTACTGGGTAAAAAACATTTCGAAAAAGGGTTACTTATCCTTGTATGTATTAAACTTTTTCAATATAAAATGAAGACTAACTCTGAGATCATGAAAGTACAACACAAGATCACTTGAGATACTGGATAGTAACAGGGGGTTAACCCTTTAACTCCCACGAGTGACCAAGACAGAATTTCTCCTTACAATATCAATATAATATCAATAAAATATCAAGCAGACAAGTGATGAGAGTAAGAAAAATCTTAGGGATTTAGGGATTATTACTTGATCCATTACCAAATTCCCCAAACTAACTTCTAAAGAACAATATGGCAGACAGTAAGAAGAATTATTAATGAGATCTTGGGAGTTAAAGGGTTACCGGTAAAGGTGAAAGTGTTGCTTGCTTCCTGATCTTGGCCACAGTGCGTCGCAAACTCTTTTATTTTGCCGGCACTTTTCTGAATCACCCAAATTTTTTATTTTATATTATTTTCGTATAAGGACCAAACTTTGTGCCCGCATGTAATTTGACATGATTTCTTATATACCAAGACGCGTTTTGAAGGCTTGAAGTTGCTTAATTTTTCGCTTTTTGCAACGAGCGTTTGAGAGTACTCTGTTAAAAAATCATGTAAATTTTAAAATTACACCAAAGCTCCTAAAAGTGCCACAAATAAAAATCAAATGAATTATATTTTGAAGTAAAAACACCACCGATTTCTTACGAAAAATCTTCCTTGAGCACTAGCACATTAAAGTTGGTCAATTTTACTGTATTTTTTGCATAATTAATTAGGTAAAAACTCGAACGCATTTCTTCCTGCAACGATTACCAACAAATTTAATCTGGGAGTTCAAGGGTTAACTAATAATCCATACGAAAAAGATATCCTTCAAAGCTTTCTACCCGGTACTTATTAATTTAATTTAATTTCTTTATCTTTAAGTTGACCCTTTGACTCCCAGGATCTGAATGTTTATTCTCCCCTCTGGCTGATACCGTTTTCTTATAAATAAGTTACGAGAATTTGGTGTTAGATCAAGATCAAACTACTCCATGATAAGTTGAGATATTCTCATTACCTGTTTGCTGGATAATGTATGGATCTTATAGGGAGAAGTTGCATGTTAATCACGTCTGGGAGTTAAAGGGTTATATATCTTTATCTTGCAGCTCTTTCTCTTTCCTTTCTTATTTACAATCTACTGCCAACAACTCAATTCTAAATATATATCATGGTACTCGACCAGATTAGATATTTAGCTGTTATGGTAACCATCGTAATTGTAAATGCATGCCTTCTGAAAACAAGGTAGTAAAGTTGTTGCTGTTGGTTTTTGTTGTAACAGCTTCACAATCATCAACCTCACCTGAAGATTTAAGTCTGACAGGACTGCAAAAGCCGTTAGGTGAGTGCAAGAGCACACTGTGTGAGTTCTATTGGACTTCACTGATTTACACCCGTAACGTGACCAACCACCACCACGCGTGTCTCTATGGTAACGAAAAACAATAGGCAGGCTTAGCAATCACAACGCGTCTTCTGGTTCCTGAATAACTGTTTTCATTGTGTCTGTAGTGGAATTTTTGCGGTAGTCTCACTATAGACTACCATGTAGAATATCGAAATACTCCTTTAATGCTAGTTGACGTAATCATGAATTAAGAGTCTTTTTGTATGCAAAGTTTAACCTTGCACATTGGGATGCAAAGTAAGCGTTCTTAAACTAAAGGGCAGCTTTTTTGTGGTGTGGGTATCCTCAAAGAAACAGTAGGGCAAATGACGAATGGTTGTCTGGATCCTTAGATCGCAAGAGCGAAGAAGCTACATCTTAGCAAACGCCAGTATCGCTCTTGTATATGGAAAACCGTTCGGAAGTTGAAGCATAGCCAATGTTTTTCGTAATGATGGCAAAAGACGTCAACCAAAAGTACCTCTACATGTCATATTCGATTATAGTATATTTTATAGCGGTTTTTGCCATAACGACGACGTGCAGCTCTTGTAGTGTCTCCGATTGGCGTTTTCTAGGTTACCATGTTCTCCCGCTCACGACAACTCGGAACGAAAATGAGTACACGGGCCCGAAAGCGGCGCGACTAAACAAGTGTCTCTATGGTAAATTCGAGAGTATGCAACAACATAAAATTAAAGCTATTCATTATTATACTCACGGTACTGAATAATTCCAGTGCACACAAATGTAAGACGATCGATTCACCTAACAGAAAGGAAAGATGACAAATAAACCAACATGACAAGCAGTTGAATTAATCACATGGTAAACCAGGCTTATTTAAGAGAAGACAACTTAAACATTCTTCGGTTAGTTTCTTAAACAAATCCTAGCTAAAATTAGTAACGAATAACAACTTACAAGTCTGTTGGCAAAGGCAATGCGGACAGGATATGTTAAAGGAGCCATTTCCATCTGAGGTAACTTGACAGAGACGACATCAGAGCTGACTTCAACGTTGTACTTCGAGTCACTGTAAAAGTAAAAAAGGGACCTTGATTATATCATAAAAATCCTCATAAGGCAATGCGAGGATAATTCGCCTCGCTTTTGCTGATAAAAACACAGAATATACACATTGGGGGAGAAAAAATAGTTTTCAGAGATTATATCAAACAAGGAAGAAATAAGGAGAGCTAAGCCCGAAGAAGATTAACCTTGTACTTCCAAGATCTCAGTAGTAATTCTCCTTACTGTCTGCCATACAATTCTTACGATGCTAGTTCGGAGAATTGGGTATTGGATCAACTAATAATCCCTGAATTTATATTTTTCTTTATTCTCATCACTTGTCTGCTTGATATTGTATAGATATTGTAAGGAGAAATTCTACCCTCGTCAATCGCGGGAGTTAAAGGGTTAACAGGAACTGCAGATGTCAAACTTGGAAATCATTTATGCTTACAACACTCACACACTACAGCGTGGTTCGCTTAAAATTAAATATATGAGTTTTATCAAAAATAAAAAAAAAGACAAGCAAAAGCAGTTAGAGCAAATCGTAAACTGCTTTTAATTATTTCTAGCACATATTCCATTTCTCAATCAAACCACAATATACACTACCAGCAGTCCCTTCTTCTCGGTGCAGTCCGTCGCACGATTAAAACAAATTCCGTGGGAAAAAAAGACTTAATCGCCCCTCACACCCAAAATTCAACGTGGTGTGCTTACATCAATTTCTTTTCTTTCCTCAATTTCTTTTAACTCGTGCGACAGACTTCGCTTCAAGGCAGGGACTGCTCGTAGTCTAACCACGAAATAGTCTCTTCTAAATACTAGGGGGAAAAACCAAAATTGTTTAAAAATTCTATCCAAACGTACTTTCGATGCATTTAGTGCATGTAACATACCGCGTCTTCGCGTCAAACGCTTTGGGTAATAAATCTCCGATATTTCTGATGATCATGAAGCCAACTCCTATGTTGTCTTCCACATCTGAAACAAAATTAAATAAAAAAATATTTAGATCTCTTAAAGAGCTGTCACTCACAACATTATCATAATCATTGCAAAAAAATATTCAAACAATCTTAAAATTGTTCAAATCCGCCTCTCTTTTTTACTATTGTTTGCCAGCTCTCCTAAATATCCTTTTTATCCTCGCGTGCGCGCGCGCGCGCGGAATCCAAACGCGCATTAATTTTGCTGTTTCACGGTTTATTCTAGTAACTACCCACGAAGGCCTGGCAGGCCCCCTTCTTTAGTTTTAGGGAGGCCCTTTACCAAGGAAAGGGTTATTAAGCTCGAACTGAGTTTTACAGAACAGATGCCGTATCAGTCTTCTGGCCAGTTATGTCTGCGAATACTTTATAAAATAGTTCTTACAAAATAGAGTTATCCTTCGGCACAATTTTTAGCGCCTCATTTGATATTTAAACGTCCCTTTTATGAGGCAATTTTTTTCGACTAGTGGCGACCCGCAAAACCGTGCTCAAGCATAAACCCAGGTACTTGTTATGCAAGTTACGTCAAATTCACGACTTACCTTTTCCATGAAAGAAAGGTTTAGGAAGGTAAATTCTATTGGAGATATTACGCCAAATTTTATAAGGAGAGTCGCTGTAAAGGTCTCTTCTCGCGGGGTACGATAATCCAGAGAATCCTTTGACATACACTGGATGAAGTTCCATAACTATGAAGAACAAAGCGTGGATATTAGCAAGTGAAAGCAACCGTTTGTTTACAACGAAAGCGTCCGCTTGGTTAATCCCAAACAGTTTCCATAGTTTGTGGAAAACTCATAAAAAGGGCGCAGTTACGGTATTTTAAAATATAGGCCTCTACGATTTTCGCATATATAAGACAGGAAAATTTTACGCATGTTGGGGTGGTGATTGATGTAAACCTTTCTTTTTAGTATCATTCGTGCGCACGTTCAGGATCAAGATCAGGATTAAGTGTTGTTGCAGGAACATTAAAATATTCTCTAGCGTTGAATGCCGTTTAGGAATATTTCATAAATCTTTGACATAGCTACCGTGCGCTTCTTAACTCAAACACCACAAATAAAATCCTCAAAATGATCAGAAATCTCTATTGACATCATCCGTTTTTCATAATTTTAAATTCCAAAAAATGCAGTGATATTGTTTGGAACATTTCAATCACTTATGAGACAGAGCGGAGGAATTCCCCGACAAGTAAGTACTAAAATTACCTCAAAATGCGACACAGCCCCGTTACACACAGCAAACTCAACAAAATATTTTATTTTTCTTACCAATATTGGGAGTAATAATCGTGTACGGTGGCAAAATGCTTTCGGTAGAGCGCCTGTATCTGCGCGAGTCTCGTTTTAAGTACCGTAGACTTCTGGCTAAGTTTCCGCTGAAGTTTTCCATCTGTTTTAACAGAGCCGCTGTCCCTGCGGATTGCTGTCAAATTGAAAGAAACAGCAGTCAAGATAAGAGGCTTATACGGCCAACGGAAGGTAATAGTAGGGTAAGTGTACATAAAAATATCTACTGCTCCCAAAAATCGCCTTACAAAACTCTTGACCTCACTGCCAGTGCCTCCGAGCTAGTGTCGGTATAAACAAGGAGCTCACAATCCACTGGTCATGTGTTTCTAGGAAAAATATTCAAATGAATTTGAAGAGAAATTTTGTGTGCTTTGTGATGCTCGGCCGAAATTTTGTGTTCTTTCTTTTGCGTTCTCGGAGAAATTTTGTGTTCTTTTGTGACGATCGGCCATTGATAATTGCGTCTGGTAGCTAATGTCTGCCCACGTTTGCTACGGATTGCGCATGACAACAGTTTGTGCAAGTCAACGAATGACCACAGACATCTGCAAATATCTTAGTAGAAGCGCGCTTTCCAAACAAGTATGATGATCACGGTTAAAAACTCGTTATTGGCTTCTGTTTGCAGTAATGCGAAAGGCTGAAAGGGCGCGAGTTTCACAAGCCAATTGGAGAGCATAGCGAAATAAAAATCGGCGACAAATCGACCGTGGATTACTTGCAAAAAAATAAAATAACAGCAAAAATAATTCAGATTTATATCAGGACCTGCACAACTGCGCACCTACCCCTCCTCTAGCCCAACAATAACACTAACTTGTTATTGGTTGACTGTTCTGAGGTTAGGGGGAGGGGTAGGTACAGACTTGCTCAGATACTGATCCAATAATTATTACCTGTTGAACGACGTCCCACATATCGTTGTTATCGGAGCTAAACAGCGTACTGGCTGACTGAAGAAGGACCTGTGGATCATATCAAATAATTACTTAAGTTGTTGTTCTTGAGAGACGCAGAAATTGTAGGAGCAAGGGATTCCGGATCGAAAAGTCGGTTTTGATCAGTAAACTACTTTCTTGGTTGAGTTTTCTGGCAAAACTTTCTTTAACCCTTTACAGCCTAACATCAGTATGCATATTCTCCATACTGTTCTCTATACAATTCCTGAGGGGCCAACAAGGAGAATTGGTTCAACGATCCTGAGCTTCTGTTGTTGTTGATCATTTCCATTATTCTCATGACCTTATTTTGTCATTCAGGGCTGATATTGTAAGGAAAAAGTAAATGCTACTCACTCTTCAGGGTGAAAAAATTGACCAGTGAACTTCCTCTGCACATTCGCAGCTGCATATTTAAATTAAAAGTGGATTTTCCCGTCCAAAAAAAATGGACGTTGTGCCACATCATCATTTCGAAACAGCTCTCTTAGTCACAATTTCACTTCTTGACTGTGGGTTTCTTGCGACTTGGCAAGAAATGGGAAATCCAGACACTATACAACTATTACCTCCGCCACGAAAACTTACGCAGATAAGACAGTGAACGCGTTTTCTGATTCAACAGGTCTTCCTCACGCGAGGAGGTCTGCCTTTGAAAGTGGAAAAAATGCAGGCAATGTTTGAACAGTTAACCCTATCAGGGTACCCCAAAGGTCCTGACAAGGAGAATTTGTTAAACTATCAAGAGCTTCCTTAACTGGTGATCAATTCCTTCATTCTCATGACCGTAATATTTGATTCAGGGATGATATCGTAGGGAGAAATTAGATGCTAGTCATTCTTAGGGGTCAAAGAGTTAAGAGCTAGGCATGATGGGATCGTTGCTTGAGGTGCAAGCGTTTCGATTCCCGCCAAATGAGCTGAAGTCGGCGGCGTCACGCCTTGTTTTGGCCGGGCCACTAAGTCGAATGTTCTGCTCATTTTAAGACAACTACCCAAAGAATACAATCCCCTTGGATGCTTAAACTGCGGTAAGCATTAGATCTTCACTTTAAAATGGCTGAGATAGAAATTACGCGGTTTCTGCAATAAATTTCTATAACTTTCGCACCTTCGCAAACTCCTTGGTCTTAGCTGAAACAAGCGTGCTGGAGTTTTGTTGACTCTCGTATCCAAACAGAGTGGTGATAATCGTCAGTGCGATTTCTATGTCTCTGGCGTACAGTTGAGGGGATAACGTGATGGCAAGATCTAACTGCTGTCCTATATATATACCAAGGGCGAAATCTGGCTTCCAGTCGACGTTTCCAGACGTCAAATTTTTTAACTACAAAAGACACAAGGGTAATTTAATATTATCAACTGAGCTGATAACGTAAATTAATAACAAGATATCGACAAAGCATGACTCAGCAGAACGAAAGAAAAGTATTAATCACAAACTTTCTCTTCAGTGATCTCAAATTGTGGTTGAATTCGCGAACTTGGGAGTTAAAACTACACAAGTTGTGCAGAACATTAAACATTACTGCAGGCTTGTGCTGCTATGTTACTCTCACCTGAATCATCACCCACACTCGTGTTTAAAGCACAGACTCCAAATCTAGCTTCTCACGTGAAAACCTAGCTTTCGAGCACGCCTTCATGATCAGCGCTGCAGGACGCGCGTTTTTCCACCGGCGGGAAAATTTGAGACGCCTCGGGAAGAGATTTGCCGGAAGTCTGGCGCTAATAATGTTATTTTCAGCGTAAAACTCGTTCCACACCTCTCTCCTACTTGCGTCGCTTACGGCCTCATACTTTCCCGCGGGTGAAGAAACGCAATACTAATGAGGAACTGCTCAAAAGTTCGTGAATATCACGTAACTTGGTTTTATTCACTGACTTAACAGTGGTAAATGCCTTGTTTAGTAACACATCAAAGAAGCGCTCGAAGGATTTCGTTCACGTACTTGAGTTTACAATACAATACAATACAATACAATATTCTTTATTTAACGAAGTTGACGAAATTAACCCAATGATTTATCTAACTTACGGCCTTCAAAGCAGTACAAATACATATATAAAATAATGACTAATCGGCAAAACGACTGACTACGAGAAAAACTAAAACTAGAAATTGTATGGTTTAACATAGATATAACATGATATAAACAATTACCTTCTTATACAACATTTCATCAAAAAGTTTAAAAAAACGTCGGCATAGATGCTGAGATCACAAAATTTTCCAAAAAAGTTAAGTTAATCAAAACACAAACCCGATGATCCGAATGGGCATTTTTCTTTTGCTGTTGTCCCAAACGCGGCTTTCTTCCAACATGTTTCCTCAGCAAATGCTCTTGGACATGATGTGTTAATAACTATTAAATACAAACAAATAAAATTAATTCTAGAGTTCCTCATTTCCCGGTTTTAATAAACAAATCATACGTAGATAAATAAATAAAAAGAGGTAACATGACGAATGCTGTTCGAGATATCTTCCTTTCATGTGGTGAAATAATATAATTATGATAATAGCAATAATAGTAATAGTAATAATACCAACAATAATAATTTAACAAATGCAAATCATTGTTAGTTATGTGTACAGAAGACTCACGATTTCTCGTGCCAACTGTTTCTAAAAGACTCTCGAAAAGGAATTAAAATTAACTTTCTTTTCTCATGAAAGAAATGTTACCAAACACACGACTTTCTGACAATTCAACCAATTTCCTTTTCCAAGTAGGAAATTGGAAAAATGGGGATTCTTCCCTATTTGACAAGACTGAAAAAGATCTGTTTCTCTGCAGTGGAGTTAATGCATGTCTATGCGCCTGTTTTAAACGCGTGCAAACGCATTTCACCTGTAATAAAGACGCGTTTTGAACGGGTTGAAGCGTGTTTCATAGGCACTGTCAACACCTTACACGCACAACGCAACCCATTTAAAACGCATTAAATACGCATACAAACGCATTTTCACCGCGTTTGCAACGCGTTCAAGTTACGTAAAATCTCACTTACCCTCACAGCCTCTATCGCTCACAATCTGACCCTGTTTGTCTCCGCACTGATTACAACACCTTCCGACCATATTCTTCCCTCCCCTTCGGCCTTTAAGACAAGGGCACTGGCCATTCTCTGTAGCACAATGATCACCAATACTACCAATCTCTTCACAGTCACATCTAATACAGTCATCACTAAACACAGGGGCACCCGAGAATGTGCAGCTTACAATCTTTCGATAGTGCTTTGCCTGGACAAAAACAAAACGAGAAAAATACTTTAAAAGAAAGCACCGATTTCCAATTGCGTAACAAGTGAATGAAAGACACATAAGCATCAGAACTGAATTCTAGAACAGTAGGCGCGGTTTTGCGGGCGACGAAAAATTCAAGACCATAAAGGAGCCATTAAGTGGCTTTCTTTCAGACACATCGCCCATACAATGCACTTTTCAGCCCTGTTTCCTAAACCAATCCAATAAAGAATGATGCAAATCGCAAACAAATCGGTATAAAAACCTCTTCTTTTCGACGAAATGTAAAAGCACACACACAAAAACTTTATGTCCCCCCAGACTGCAAACAATTCTCCTTTCCCGCTTCAAACTAAAGTAACTACGAGAAGAAAGATCACTTACACATCCCTAAAAAAAAAAAAAAATCAACACCTGTTTCACAGCGACTTCCATCAAACCCAGTGGGGCAGTCACACCGGCGAGAACCAAGTATGTTAAAACACGTGCCTCGCTCGCAAGGTTTATATGCGCACGTGTTGCCCATTGCTTTACATTTAGCACTGGTTCCGTTGTTGTACAATGGCTGACTGAGGTCCAAGAACTTGTGATCGATGTAACGTTTCTGATGCAGCCAGGAAAATGTTTGTAGAGGACTGGGAATTTAACTGGTAGCTGCACGTGCTTCCCGAGAAGAAGAGGGCCTGTCAGATCCAAGGAGCTAGAGAAAAAAAAAGGATCACATTGTTGCTATTTACAGTTCGCTTTTTAATTCCCAACACGAAAACATTCCATACACGATTTTGAGAATTTAAAAAGTGAGTAGATATCTAGAATTATGTATAGGACAAGTAGTGCAGGAAGTGTACACTTGTGATCAAAGCGCACTGATCAGAAAGTTCTGGCCCTCAAGATTACAGTTGACCCTTTGACTCCCAAAAATGAGAGCTCCAACTGCAGTTTGACATAAGTAATCTGACAAAAAAATCACTGCTTGGGGTCAAGAACATGTCAAAAACATCTATACTAAAAATTATTGCATATATTGACCTGCTTATAAATACCTAAACCTCTGAGGATAATGATAATAATAATTAATAATAATAAATAATAATATTAATAACACTATTGACAGTTCATATGATATATTTCTCTATTCTCAATTTGCTTACAAATTTTAGAAATAATTAATTTTAAAAAAATCGGATATAAACATAGTAAATAAACATCAACACAGTTTTTAAGAACCTCAACTAGTAAAAGGCAAACAAATTGGCTTTAAACAGAGCAAAGCCAACAAGTGGAAATCAGTGCAACTGAAAACAAATCCAGTGAGTAGCAGAGTGGAGAACTACAACCTGGGACCACTGCATTACAAGTCCCTAAGCAGGTGGCCAGCACCCTAAGCACTCATCCACTCTGCCTACTCCTTGGGTCTTTCCTGATGGTGTGCATTTACATAAAAATGTACCTGTAATTTTCAGATTCATCTTTAATTTGAAGCTGCTGTGCTGCGGTAAATGGGATGGAGGTTGCTTTGGTCCCAAAATTCACTGCCACTGCAAGTTTTCAGTCATCAACAATGATAACACTAGTCTAAACAAAGAAAAAAAAATGATTTACTGGGTAAAAATCATTTCAAAAAAGGGTTACTAACCCTTGTATGTACTAAATTTTTTCAATATAAAGTGAAGACTAACTCTGGGATACTGGATTTTAACAGGGGATTAACCCTTTAACTTCCATGATTGACCAAGACAGAATTTCTCCTTACAATATCAATATAATATGAAGCAGATACATGATGAGAATAAGAAAAATCTTAATTAGGGATTATTACTTGATCCATTACCAAATTCCCCAAACTAACTTCAGAAGTAATATACGGCAGACAGTAAGGAGAATTGTTAATGAGATCTTGGGAGTTAAAGGGTTAACGGTAAAGGTGAAAGGGTCAAAGGGTAAAAACCCTTAAATCCTTCCAATATATGTACAAACAAATCGGAAGTAAACATAGTAAATAAACATCAACACAGTTTTTTAAGAACCCCGAGTAGTAAAAGACAAACAAACAAAGCAAAGCCAGTGAGTGGAACTCAGGGCAACTGAAAACAAATCCAGTAAATAGCTGAGTGGAGAACTACAACCTGGGACCATCGGATTACAAGTCCAGCACCCTAAGCACTTGGCCAGTCCCCTAGCACTTGGAAAGTGCCCTAAGCATCTGGCCAGTGCCATAAGCACCTGGCCAGCACCCTAAGCACTGAGCCAGCGCCCTAAGCACCTGGCCAGCACCCTAAGCAGTGTTTTCAAAAGTAACCGGCGCCCGACGCAAGTCACCGGCTACTTCGAGCGTTAGCGCCGGGTACTTTTGGAAGTCAAAATTAAAAAAAAAAATTAAAAAAACATAAAGTTCCGATTCCTATGGGTTAAAGTTAAGGATAACATATTTTGTTCTTGCCCACTGATCGCGTTCCAGCATCAGAAATCGTAACTCTTTTATTCAACAGCATTCAACTTGGACTGGAAACCATTTGCGTTTTCCCACGAAAGACCGACATTTGATCCTGCTATTTCGTGACTAGTTTTTTCTTGCGTAAGCGAATTATGAAATCGTCTTCTTCTCCACATCGCGTGTTTGAATCTGTTTGTGAATTCGTGAGAGCTTTGTACTTGGCGCTTTCTTTAAGAAAACGGTCCCAGTCACCGGATGAAAAGGCAGAAATCACAGCCGCTTTTAACCCAGTTTGGGTTCAAACAGCAAAGAAAGGAGATTGCAGGTATGAAACACTTTTTAAAATGCAAATGTTCGCCGGGTTCCTGTTTACAATCCCCCAGTCCATCAGAAAATAAGTATTGGTGCATGTTATGAATGAAACATTGCTTGAAAACAATATTGTATCGCTTAGGTTGAATTATTTATTGTCAACAAGGCGATTTATAAGGGATGCTTTTATTTATTCAACGCTTGGTTTCGTGAGGCGCCGTTTCGAGAATGAACTGGCAGACTCTGGCGATTAAATAAATTTTATGCCGACACAAATTTGGTCACATTTAACTTTTTATATAAGCCAGGCATTTTTAAGATTTTTGTGAGACTTAAAGTTTCATTTCAAGTCTTCATAATCAGTAAAGCGGGTGAAACTGAATGTTTTACAGTTCTTTATGGAAAATTAATTTTATACGAAGCCGACACAGCCAGACTAGTCGCGACATAAGTCGCGCCACATGTTACGGCTCGCTTAACATATATGAGTTTTACTGAAATTGATTGTTTAGCAAAGCATTGTTCTTCTGATAACTAAAAAAAACAGTTAAAACAGTTGTGCCCGCGGAATAAAATTGATTTATCTAATCGATTGAAATTTTGGCTAACAATGCATTATTTATGGAGCTTGTATGTCGCGCTAAAAAATAAAATTTAATCTCCGCCTTTAACTCAAATTTTGTATACGTGAGGTCATATACGTGAGCGCGAAATAACTATGCTTGGTTTATTTAACGCGTTGGTCATGGGGGATAAATGGTACACATTGTCAACATCGATACATATTCTCACTGCTTTCGTTAGATGCACCAGACACGGAAGGGTCTTCTGCAACGCCTAGTACGTCCTTAAACTTCGAAGATGCCGAAAGTTTGCCCGTCAATGTGTTACGCGACTGCCAAGAAATCTCTGTGACCGCAGCCCCTACCAACCACGCTGAAGGTAAACGAACTTTTTATTACAATTCGTGATATTTCTTTCTTTTTTTGAGAGTAGCCTTCTCTAGTTGGTGGTTTGCATCACACACTGAAGAAAAAAGGTAAAGAATCTTACATGTAATTTCCTCCCACAGATACTGTGTGTATACAGTCAGAGAGTGATATCACGAACAGTTTCACTGAAGAACAGCAGACGAAGAAAATTCATCACTACATTCTCTGCAAAAAGCGTGACTGCTTGGGTGTGTCTCAAGAAGAAAGAGCACGCATCAAAACAACCAAAAAGAAGCAGATGTTTAATCACAGCCTTATCTTTAATAAGGATTTGGCCTATAGCCCTAAAGTACAGATGTGGTGGCTCGTTTACATCGAAGGAGAAGGTCAATACTGTCTGATCTGCAAGAAGTTTGATTCCAAGAATCCCCAAAACAAAAAGGAATTTTTTTCTGCAGAACCAAGCACAAGGTTAAAGAAAGATTGCCTCGAGGAGCACATTGCAACAAAGAGACACAAAGATGCAATCACTGCCATTCTTATGAACAGGTTCTCAGTTTTCCAGAAAGAGCTCGATCATAATGCTGAAGTTCAGGTTGATGTGTATGAAAGAGTTTTCTATTGCCTTTACTGGTTGGCAAAGGAGGATATAGCAAATGTCAAGGTTAAGAGTCTGTTAAAGTTGGTTGCGAAGCTGGGGTGTGATATGAGTGGCTTTAATCACACATCAGTAGGTTCCTTTCGCAACATGTTGCTTCTTCTTGGTGAAATGATTCAAAATGAAGTCATTTCTGCTGTAACTGGGCCATTTGGGGTGATGGTTGATGACATGACTGACATTGCAAATTTGGAGCAAATGATTGGTTTCATCCAGTATTATAACAGGGGTAGCGAAAAGGTTGAGGTGAAATTTTTGTGTTTGGAAAATGTTCTCGCCAGCTCTGACGCAGCAGATTCTTTAACCATCACAAGCATCCTTCTGGAAGTCATTGAGAAACACAGTCTCAATTTTGACTGGTTTAAAAGCTTTGTGTCAGATGGAGCAAGTGTCATGGTGGGAGAAAGGTCAGGTGTAGCTACCAGGCTGAAAGCAGATGAAAGAATCCAGTCGTTAATATCTGTCCACTGTGTTTGTCACAAACTAGCGCTGGCGTGTACCGACACTTTAAACGATCTTGCCACAATAAAGAAGATGCAGAACACACTAAACACCCTTTGGCAACTCCTTGACAACTCGAACAAGAAGACAGCCATTTTCCTGAAAGTTCAACTTGAGGTGAGTGAAATAACTCTCTCAAACAAGAATTCGCAGAAGAAGATAGCTAAGAAGCTGAAGAAGGCCTGTCAGACACGATGGCTGTCATTTAACGCTGCCGTTCAATCCGCTTGGGAGAGCTTCTCTGCCATCATCCAGTTCCTTATCAGGATGAAAGATGAGGACCCCACATGCCAGGGCCTGTTAGTTCAAATAAACAACGTCCGCTTCCTGGCTTGCTTGTATGTTTTAAAGCATGTGCTTCCTGTTCTTGACAACCTGTCAAAATCGTTTCAGCATTCTACTGTCAATTTCAGTCACCTTAAACCAGAAATTGTTCGTGCTAAGGCAGCGCTGGATGAAGTGGCAACCAAAGAAGTCCCCATCAAGCAATTTTGCCAAGATATCAAGGAAGGAAAGATGGTGCTGCCGCAGTTTTCCCCTTCTGAGCATCAGCTTGCATCCATGCGAAATTTGTTGCTGAAGTATGTCTCTGCTTTGAAGGAAAACATCGACCTGAGGTTTCAGAACACCCTCCCTCTTCTGGGAGCGCTCTCCATCTTTGATCCAACTCTTATTCCTGCAAGCTCTTCAGAACTTCCCTCTTACGGAGTAGATTCTATCCAAGTTCTTGCCAAGCACTACTTCCCCGACCAACAAGACCGACTTTTGGCAGAGTGGAATATATTAAAGTACCACATGAAGGAGATGGCCATTCCAGCTGATGTAAAAGAAGGCAAGACTACCATGCCAGCAGAGTGGTGCATGTCCCAGCTAATGAAACAAAGATCTTCTTTCCTTTCTCTTCTCCCTCTCCTCATGCACATTGTAGAAATAGCTCTCACGATGCCCATAAGCAACGCATGGCCTGAAAGGGGAGTCAGTCGAGTTAAGCTTATAAAGTCAAGGCTCAGGAGCAGGCTGACCAATGAGATGCTGGAGGCCCTTGTTAATATCTCTATGAATGGTCCAGAGGCAAATTCTTCAGAATGTGACACCCTGGTGAAGAAGACCACTGAGAAATGGCTCTCTGGAAAACGCTACAATTTGGCCAAAGGGAAGTCAGCCTCAAGAGAAAGCAAGGGCAAAGAACCTGCACCACCAGAATTAACAAGTGTATCAACACAGACGGACCCACAAGTTGAAGATCGTCAGAGTCAAGAAGAACAACAAGCGTTGCAAGAGGAAGAGCAGGCCCTCATTAAACTTGGCTTAGCAAATTTTCAAGATGATCCAAGTTGTGACGACAGTGACAGGGACAGTGCAATGGGGGAAAGTGATTTCAGTGACAGTGACTTTTAACTAAAAAGAATCGAGCCTGAGTGCTTGGATGCCATAACGAAACTGTTCATCTGTATTTTCAATCTGTAGGAAAACTCTGACTGCAAAAATAATTATTTCAAAAGTTGATTCATGTTATAACAGGTCAATGAAGTACTGACAAGGGAAAGAGGTCAATTTTTATTTAGATGTAAATTGTAATATGTAACATGGGACTGGAAGGAAAGCATTGTAATATGTATGAGTAAACATAAT